ACAATCTTATGCAAAATTTTAATATAATCAAATTTAATGAAATATAATACCTGAGCAGCCATTCTAGCCCATTTGTTTCCAAGCTTAGCATGAAGTTGAATGATGATTCTTTCTTCCTCTTCAGAAAATGAACCTTTCTTTAGATTTGGCCTTAGATGATTGGCCCATCTAAGTCTGCAGCTTTTTCCACATCTTAACAATCCTGAATTCTTCTGAACAGAATTCCAATTCCCTTCACCATGCTTGTTCACGTACTCCATCAAAATCATGTCCTCTTGTGGGGTCCATGGTCCTTTCTTCATGCCGGTTCTTGCATCAACATCATCTTTTGATGACTCAATGTCAAACTCATTGTTAATATTATTATCATCATCATTGAATTTGTTGTCCCAAATCATTTTTGTCATAATTAATTAATCTCCTCTGGCAAACAATAATATAAAATTTATAATAGAAGAAAATTTTTCGATCGAGTAAAATTTATAATCGTCTTTCTTTGTAATTACTGGTTAGGCGATCGAGTAAAATCTCGATCGCTGTATAATGGAGTAGGGTTTATGTGATTATGAGAATGAAATATGTTGTAAAAGAAAGAGGGGAGATAAAAAAAAAGAGGGGAGAGAGGTGAAATGTTGATAAAGAGATAGAGAGAAAGTGAAAGAGAGACAGAGAATATTTATAAAGGGACAAAACCTTGTCTTCAGTTTTTGTTTTTGTTGAGATAGAGACAGTGGATTTTAAGGAAAAGAAAGAAAAAAAAATTAAGTAAAAGTTAGCTGTAGAGAGAAATTATGTGTTGGATTGGAAGGGTAATTTGGTGTTTGGAAAGAAAGAAAAAAAATAGAGAGAAGGAAAAAAAAGGTGAAAAGTGTGATTTGTGCATTTAGAGGTGTGAGCTATCATTTCGCTCCGATTTGCATGCTTTATGCTACGTCCACGGACACGTTTATCATCTTCTTTCTTCAAAATATATATATATATATATATATATATATATATATATATATATATATATATATATATATTAGTATATATATATATATATATATATATATAATATATATATATATATATATATATATATATATATATATATTATATATATATATATATATATATATATATATATATATATATATATATATATATATATATATATATATATATATATATATATATATATATATATATATATATATATATATATATATATATATTATATATATATATATATATATATATATATATATATATATATATATATATATATATATATATATATATAAAGTGGAGTTCAACTTTATTATTAGAGTAAGTTTTTTAACCTATCTTAAATCATAACTTTTGATTTAAATCTAATATATTAATTAAATTAGCTTTTTTATTTTTTATTTTTTTTGGAGCAAAATTAACTTTTTTATTTAATTAACAATTAGAATAAATTTACTTAAAAGATTATAATTTACATTAAATAAAAAAAACGTATACCAAATTAATTAGATAAATTGTCACTATAAAATCACTTTACATTATCATTCAATTATAATTCATCATTTTTACGCATAAGAAAAAAATATATAAAAGAAGTAATTATTAAAATTATTTAATTATAATTTCTTTTTAAATTTTAATTCAATGTTTATATGTCAAAATTGATTAATTTTAATTGAATGATAGTATAAAATAATTTTAGACTGATAATATATTTCAATTATATATATATATTTAAAATCTAGAAAAAAAACATCAAAATTATCAGGTAATATTATCACACTTATTATAGTCGATAATATATATTGACATATAATGACACTTAAAATCTAATTTATATTGACACTTAAAATCTAATTTATATATTGACATATAATGACTTTATATTTAAGTTAGTTTTATAAAAATGAATAATAGTCGATAATATTATCACACTTATTTTTTAATAAGTAAAAAGAGATTATTTTGATCAAGAGCACAAGGAACACTCATTCCAATAGGAAGAAACAAAATATTTTGTAATGCAGGTCATATATTTTGGGTTATAGACTTTAATAATGACAGTGGTTCTGGTCTTTTATAGATGTTAGTCGTGATAAAATTGATAAATACTAGCACCGTTAATATTACAATACAGATAAGTTTAATTTATATTTTTCTATAGTTGTATCATTATATCTTTTCGTAGATTATTAATTTTTTTATATAAATATCAAAATATATATTGGTGTAT